TTATGTAACACATTCTGTGCATCAATGTAAACACAGAAAATGGATCTTTATTGTGAGCTTTTAATCCATACACTTTCAGAAGCAACCACATGCTTTCCTTCCCGAAATGTAGCTTGTATGTGAATTCACTTTGTAATAGGCTTGTAATGCTATTTAAAGCTTGGGAAATGCTTCCCACTATCCCTTCCCACCTAGAGACTACATATTCTCCCGAGCAATTTTGAGGGGGGTTGATAACTTTTGGATCTATTCTATTGTAATACTGTCTGTAAAGTAAAAACTTTTTTTTTGGGGGGGGGGGGGGGGGGGGGAGGGGGTGGCCTTTGGGCATTTTTTGTGCCCTCCACATTGTTTTTCTTCTCCACTTCTTGTTCTTCTTGTTCATCCTCTGACCACATTACCCTAACATAACTACTGCCCAACAATGGCTCATTTAACTAAAAAGAACAACTCAAGAGCTTATCAAGGCTCGGCTAAACCATAATCAAACTGTTTTAAAATAGAAAAGGACGATCCGGACTAAGCACATCTTCTTCTACATAATCCCCATTGTGTGTTTGGAGCCAGAGGGGCATTTAATGCATTACTTTCAAACACAATAGGACATGCACATGCAAGCACCTTTTTGAATTTGAACAAAATCTGGTCTTTTTCTTCATGGTCCCCATTTTGAGTGATCGGGAACAGAAAGGGGAGTTCCCTCTTAAGTATAATTCAAAACAAAATTTAACATCCGCCTGGCTCCAAATCAATGGAATTATCCTTTTCTTTTCTTTCAATGCTCCTCATGAATAGGTGCAATCAAGGGGAACAATGTGAAGGTGGAATTAGTATTGACATAACCCTCTCCTAAAGGACACTGTGGCCTGGTGAACCCATTTCATGAAGGCCATTACCATTACGAGTCTAGGATTCACTCATGTGTTTCACATACTCTGCTACAGTAACAGAGGAAAGGGAATGTAGATCACCCCAAAGGTCACATTCATGAGACCGACACCAGACCGAAAATCAATCTGAACGGCCAAGAATCGCTCAATTTGGAGTTGGTTCGGTAGTGCGACTTGGAAATTGGTTCCATGTACATGTACAGCGCTGTGAAACAACAGTTAGTTTGTAAGAGTGCTATAGAAATGACTTTATTGTGTTGTATTGTATTGTACACCAAGGTTCAAACATCTCAATGTTACACTAGCAGTTGTCTAGCAATGGCGTAGTTAAAAGCAACTTCAAACATTATTTTGATTTGTGAGTAAAATTACAACATTGGTCAAGTGTAAATAGGCTTGCAAGTCGAAACGACATTGGCTCCTACATTTTTTTCAAAGGCTTAAAAAAAAACATTTGACCCAAAATCACCAAACTCTTTCGATGTAGTTTGAGAGATTCATTTCCAGTTTAGGAATCAAATCATTTACTTAAATTTGAGTTCAAATGCCTCATGAAATTCAGTCATGTGATTGCATGTTAAGTAGAGTCTACTTCCCGCGACTTTTCCTGTTATTCCAGATTAAACAGACCACTCCCGATTTATATTGCAATTGCCAGCAAGTACATGTACCAGTATTAGGCATTTTGAGGGAATACCCCTTTTGATGCAAGAAGAATGGTTTCACAATCCTTGATTACAAGAAATGTTGAAATTGGATCAATGACATGTCATTTCCTCTGGGCGACTCACTTTGATATAAACTAATTTTTTGTAATGTGATCTAGGTATACATCTTTTGTCAAAATATTACACTTTTTCTGCTTACTGTAAATCTAGAAACTGTTGTTGGCATGAAATGTTTGTAAATGGTTCAATTCGCAAAATTTCAATCTAATCTGGAGTCGCAAGTTACACAACACAAATTTTTTGCAGTAGGCAAACATTGATGGCCATGAAAATGGGCGTCCTTCACGAAAGTTTCATGTCGCCAGTTTCTGGTTTCATACAAAAACCTTGTACAGGAATATTATGACAGACACACCCATTGTTATTCAATGCACCTGATAGGAATATAATATTGTTATTTGATACCAAGATAACTGTAAAAAGTGTATAGTATAAATATGAGGGTATACAAAATATTGGCCTAATATTCAATTGCTTTTTAAAATTTGAAATATTAAAACACACCTGTACTCAACAATAGCTCGTAAAATGCACACATGAATTAGATTAATGTTACTGGTATGATCGTGTTACAACATTGTAATAAAAAAGCACATTAAACAGAGTAACAACCCTTCTACATTAAGCTGTTATCTGCCAAAGTATCAACTGGCACAATTTTGTTTTAATATTTTTATCACAAGAAAATGTAAATATTGCTCTTTGTGATAACTTGAAGATCCTTACAGGTACATTGAATGAAAGATGAGGGATCTTGAAGGATCTTGAGCAAGGCCAAGTAATTGTCAACCCTTCCCCATCCCACCTCCCACAGACAGACCTTGCCTTGGAGAAAGACAGCTCTGATCGATAACTTCCATAGATCCATCCAAAGGTTATCACACGATATCGACCCTCTGTCCCCCCTCCGGCCCTTTCAAAAGGTTCTCTGGGTCCTTCGACCAAGATTCCCCCTTGCCGAGGGAAACAGACGGACCCCCCGCTTACCCCCTCCCATCCTAACCCTTCCTCCAAGCATAGCTATTACCTATAGAAAATCCCTTTCGAGAGCAAGTGGGTTAATAACGTGAACTGTCGAGTCTGATCTTGCATAAAGAGTATATGGATTCTATGAATGCATGGGGTATTGTTACATCGCCTCTATCAATTCAGTTTATTGATTTGCTTGACAAAATGGAATCTACCCCCCAGACAGGAAAGGGGACGGGACGAGGGTCTCGGCATCACTGAGGGGGTCGATACAATCAAAGCGTAAGAAGGGGAATTCTTTTAAATGACTTTTGTCATTGTTTACATCTCATGCTGCGTCAATATTTACATCTTTTCACTTCTAGGATATTGCGTTTGATTTGATGAAGAAGATTATTTTCTTCAAATCCTTTACAGAGCATTGGAGGAAAAGTGAAACTATTGATGGGAAGAAATAATGTTAACAGAAACCGACCCAAGGTTTTAATTGACGGAAATACAGCGAAGTGATAGGTGTCCTTTGAATTTTTAGAAAAATACAGGAAATGATCTACAGGAAATAATCTATAGGAATGATTGACCAAAAGTGTACTAAAAACTAACAATGGAAATATAGCAAGTAAAATATTAAATTGGGGTCAAGAGGATACAGAAAGGTTCCCAATCTCAAAAAGAAATTAATGCCTACACTTCAACACAGAACTAATGCACTTCTAGCTCCAACAGGTGAAATAATTTCTCTCATCAAAATGGTTTCTGATTAATGATTTCATAATGATTTTGTTTGTTACTGAGGTGACATCCAAACCATATCCGAAGTCCTGTTTTGGGTTTTTTTTTCTTCAGACAAGGCCCCATGACGAATGGGAAACGTGGTTGATAATGATAGATTATTATCAAAGTGTGGGCTGGTATAGGCTTAGCAGAGTGAAAAACAATGGAGTCATTAAATAATTACAAAAACACAATAGACGTTCTTAACCACCTAAAACAACATCTAACTTATCGGTGTGGAGCCAGAAGGGCATTAACTCATACGTTAATACAGATTTAACATCCTTCTGGCTGCAAACAGATAAAATGTTAACCATCTGTTAATGATTTAATTTGTTTGTACCCCAGTCTTGTGACTTTAACCTTTTCATTTCGTGGTATATTGTGTAATCTTTCAGTCTGTAATAACTTGTCTATATTATTTCTGAAATGACCTTTTAATCAACTTCATTGTTCTCTCTGTCTGCGTGTCTCCATCTTTCTTTGAAACTGTGAGTTTGTGACAATGTCTGACAAATCCCAATATGAACCTTGTGGGGCCCCTGATGTTTTACTAATTAATCTGAGATAAAATTAGGATTTCACTATGTTCTGCATAAAACTTGAATGGAGTCAAAAATATCTTCCATAGCTCTCTCTCTCTCTCATTCTCCCCGTCCACTTTCTCTCTACCCCCTCTCTCTATCTTTAACTCTCAAACTCTCAGCAATATTTTTCAATTTCTGTGTTTTCATTTTCAAATCCTATGGGCAATATACATGTGTGCATAAACAGCTGAAAACTGTACACATTTCAACAGAATAAATCTGTCCCCTTGCCAGTGGAAGACCCCCTAACAGAGGCTTAAAAATCATGACCACGTAATAATCCCCATGTTTAAATCCCCAAAGAGAGATTTTTAAATAACCAACCTATTAAGCCCCCTAAATTCAAAGCATCTGAAATGCAGTAATACATTTAAATTCAGCCAATATGGTGACATAAAAGTAGATAATAATGATAACACATATATATATAAAAAATATATATATTCACAAATAGCGCAATAACAAGAAGTGATAAATATTACACACATGAAAAGGAATCTTATGGAGTAAAACAAGGAAATTTGAAAGCTCTTCAGGAAATACTGAATAGTAAAATTTATGTAATTTCAGTATTTGATCCCCCACCCATTCCAAAGCAAATAAAACGTTTTCTTGGAAATGTAAATACTAAATAATGAAATTTATGTAATATTTGATCCCCACTTATTCCCATGAAATTTAAATATTTCTTCTCTTTTCTTTCCATTGATAGGAACAATAAATTGAGCGAGTGTTCACTCATAAGTTGACCCCTTATGATATCTTGGAGGGGTTTGCTGCATTTACAATTTTTACATAGTACATGAAAAGTACACAAATAGGAAAGATTTCCTTTTGTGACAGCCACCTATTCCTAACACTAACACTAACACTAACCCTATTTTATCATGTTTTATATATTGTATTATTATTAGATATATCATTCTAAGCTGTACCCATATTTTTTTTCTTCTCAATTTGAGTGGCTGTCGCGAAAGGAAGTCTCCCCCACAAGTATTACATATTTCACAAAATCATTATAATGAGAAAGATAAAGTGGTTGTGTTACTTACCATTGCTTGCTCGATCTTGTTGTCGATAGCACCACCGGCCGGTGAAGTGCTGCAAAGGAGAAAAGCGGAGAGTACATCATATTCATTGTTAATTGAGGTGCTTGTTCGTTTCTTGGAGGGGATAATCTGTTTCTCGCTCTTGAGCTGTACCCGAGGTACGGCCTTGTTGCTGTAGAGCATCCTCATGGTGACACGTGATGTCTTTGGTTTAGATCGAAGGTATCTAAAAAAGGACAGCTGGAGATTCGGTTTGTTAGATTTACACAGCTTTGGCGGTTATCTCAGGAAGCGAAATGATGAGTGGACGAGACTGCTGCTCTAGATAAGATAGGTTTCTGGGAGAGAGAGTTTTAGGGGAGTCCCGTTGCGTCCAAGCTCTGCAACCGAGTGAGTCTCTGAAATGAACGCCTAAATCAAATCAGCGCGATTTCGCAATCGCAGGATCAGCTGATTGGCAGTCACCACCGATTGCTGCCGTGATTCAGAAATACAGGAAAGTCAAGCCTACGAGTTAAACGGTGGCATCAGCCGGTATGGACTGGTTCTGAATCATGGTTCTGAAAATTCCCGGAGAGCTGTTGCCGTTTTTATCTGCCGCTGTCACCTTACTGACAGCACCTTACTGAGAGGAATGAGAAGTGACAACCGACGAGGGCTGCTATAATCCAATGCCGAACTGGAAGTCCTAGGATGACGTCAGCGTGGGTTATAGGCCAGTTCCTGTATGCAGGCAGCGGGATATCTAAAGCTCTACGAATACCAGTCAAGCAACTAAATGAACCTTCCAGAGGTTCCAGCTAGCTCAAGCTCTGACTCTGAGACTGATACAGCAGACACTTTTCAGCGTGTTCAATTACACAATCAACTCGCTGATTCGGCTACACAAATTGTTTCAAATCAAATCTTATTTCCTACACATTGGGATGACAGAGAAGCATCCAGGCAATGTTGTCAAGTTCCGCAAAAGGTTCAATGCCTTCAATTCAACAAGGTCTCCTAAACGCTATGACAGGTTATTGGAAACAACACACGACTCTTGGCTCCGTGGAAGTACAGTCCAATGTAATTGCTCTCAGATTCTAAATCTTGGAACGACGACAAGAGAAAAATGGGATCAGCATTAATGTGACGGACCATGTGATCTTGACGAAGAGATAGTTATCTGCATCTGTTAATTATCAACCATCAGTTCTTAATCCAAGGCTGGCCAATGTACAAGGTTATGTCCCTCTCTCTCTCTCTCTTGCTATCAAGTTGCAAGGTTGATCGATATGCACAGTGTAAATCAGCTACATGAACGCACGTTCGCTCGTCACTCCTGCTACAGTACACAATGAATGATATAACCACAAGTGATGGTCGAATAATATGTGGCAGTCTTTGGAAGTAACACCAAAATAAAAGCAAATTACTATTTATTTCAGTAATAATGCTTATGACAAGAGTTCAAGTATACTGTAGGAGAAATCCAATAAGGATAAACAAGCACTTGTTTTTTTTATAGTATTTATCAACAGCTAGAAAGCAAGCATGTGTTTCCTTCCCTGAGCGGCTTTTCTTATGTTATGTTGTTCATTCAGAAATTCCAACCCCAATTCCCGGCAAAAAGCCTTTTTGAAAAATCAATCTGGCAGTCAAGCTGCAGTGTACATACACACATACACACAAACACACACACATGTAAACTACAGGGAGTCGCTGAGAGTCTGGAAATTTCTACACTAGCTGCATGAGTGGTCTGGAAAATTACAGAATGTATACAAGGGAATTCCCAGGCATGTTCCACTTCTATAGAGGGGTGATCATGTCAACAACAGCAAGCTCAACCATGCAAAATCAATTTAAACATCAGAATCTATGACAATAGTAGCTGAATGTTGAATTCCATACATTAATCTCTTAATTAGAAACAGAATTCACGATGAAACTCGAACAGATGGGGCACTTGTTCCATGTTTTCCCTCCTGCTGATAAACCTGACCACCCCTACTGACATAATGGAAGAATCTCGTCACATGCACACTGCATGGTACTGCCTAGGCTTTGAATATATTGTCTTCAAGGACCTTTGTGAGCCACACGCTCCAATGCACTGTGCTTTCCATGAGCGTTCACTCACCCAAGACGGGATAAATACAAGTCATGTATACACTCACTTGTATACAAATACTGGTATTGAAATTTGGAAGAAATGTGCGCCCTCTGTATCAAAAGAATATACAGGTGCCTATGACTGGGTCAGTGGAAAAAACAACGATTCATCATCGTTTGGTTAATTGTATGACTGTTTCTATAGAGACAGGTATTTCAAATAGCAGGTCGTTGTTACAAAATACAGAAGTGGTCAAGATAAGGTCAAAATAAGTGGGTCAATTCCACAATCTTCCATTCTGTAATAATAAACAATTATTAACCGTATCAGACATCTGAGCAGGGCAATTTTTAAATGTTATTGCCCTCAAGGTTTAATGGATAAGTCAACAAAATTACAATAAGTTAGTCCGCTCAGAAAAGTCAATGGGATTTTGTGTGTAATTTGGCGGGCAATATAGGTTATACAGTAAACCAATGCGCAAATATTTTAGCCCGCTCAGAAGAGTCAATGGGATTTGTGTGTAATTTGGCGGGCAATATAGGTTATACAGTAAACCAATGGACAAATATTTTAGCCCGCTCAGAAAAGTCAATGGCAAAATGCGTGTTAAACTAGTGAGCAATAATATAGTGCCAGTTGTAATTTACATCGCGCATCAGCTATTGTAATTTACATCGCGCATCGTGTATAAGAAAATGCGCACTTTGTGCGAACTCTATTGTGACGTAACAATCACACCCTAGGCAAACTGTTTGCAGTGTATCGAAAATCTGTCAAACACTGGATGAACAGTGCTGGTTTGACAATGTTTTTGCAACTTCTAATGCTAGGAAACCGTGTGTAGCCTACATAATTTAAGAGTATAAGAGAGTAAGAGTTTCTTGTTTGCTCTAGATGTCTGATGTGGTTAATAATAGTAATATTGACTGCCTAATTCAGGGCAATACGACTTGTCATATATCACCCTCACCTTCGGTTCGGGCGATATATGTCGTATTGCCCAGAAGGCAGTCAATATTACTTAAATATTGACTGCTTTGAGTTTGAGAGTCATGGTTAAAACTATTGCCCAAGGTGATCTGGAGACTATACTTTGCAGTTTTCAAGAACATCAAGGACCTTTACATGTAGTTTTGACCATGACCTGAGGAATTAGCAATTAATATTTGTTTGACATACCAATTTCGACCAATCAAAGTATATAGTCTGAACGACACATCTTTCTATTTTTTCCCCTGTTTTTTACAGTGGATGCTATCCATTATGTACAAGACTGGTTCAATAACTAATTCATTCAGTCTGTACAACCTTTATATTTTCAATATTCTAAATATTCTAGGCAAACAAAAAAGAAGGAAAGGAGCTTTCATGTCACGATGTTTTGCCAAGTGAATTTACATGTAGTTATGTTATAAGTAATATAATATGTCATTAATCTCTGCCAAATGACTTTGACAGACAAGGTGTAGGCCTAATTGTTGAATAATTAGTCAAATAAACATGAAATGTTTCTTGGCATATCATCACCATAATGACAGGTCACCTTGATACTTGTACTGGTACATGTAGGCTACATCACTTCAACTACATGCTTGAAGCTAATGTCAGGGGATTTGGAAGCCCTCAAAAAAAAATCATCTCAAAATTTATCTATAGCAGCACTGTGGTTTTCTCTCTATAAGTGAAAATTGAAGCCCTTATTTTGTAACAATAAATGGGATGAATAAAGCACTGCCAGTTGCAAAATCCAAATTTGAGAAGAAAAATTATTATGATTTTGCTAATAATGAACATTTTCACTATACTTTTAGGAAGTTTTCAATAATGTTTAAAAAACAGCAATTTATGGGCATGAAGAAATGCCTTGATATATTTCCCTTTTTTGTATATTGTCTGCAAAGAGCTAGGTGGTTCAGTCATTTCATGTTACATAACACCCATCTGACTCTCTGATGCTCAACAGATGACATAATGCTGACTGTCCAGTAAAGGGAAATTCCCTCACAAAACAGTTGCCATTGAAATCTAACAGGCTTAACAGGACTGTCTTTTTCGCAAAAGCTCAGTTTAGATAACATTCTAAACTTAAGCATTTAAAGATTATGCACACTGTCAACTATTGTCAGGGAGATTTCTCCCTTCCATCTCTCAACTATTACCAACTGAAAGTAACTGTAAATTGTGTGCTATTTTGCAAGGTTTTAGAAAGACTTAAAAAAAGGTTTCCATGGTAACATCATATTCCACAGGGATTCAGAAGTGGGTTATAATTAATACAAGACCTTATACAAGAGGGGCATTAATATAAAATCTTATATTACTTCAAGGAGAAATAATAAACATGAAATGACATACAAGTGTAAGGTACAGGTAGATCCCCTGCTGGCTGTGAGAGTCAACTGGACAACATCCTTCTGGCTCACGATGGTACAAATGTACAGTACAGAAACATCATCAGCTATTAAAGAGCTCAAGAGGCATTAAGTGGCCATCTATACAGGGTCACTTCCTTCCGGGTCATAGCAGACAACATAAAATAGTACAAGTATTTAAAGGCAATAGTACAAGTATTTAAAGGCTAAATTACAGGCCAGATACACTTACAGGTGTATGTTGATGGCAGAGAACTATCTTCACATGGTCAACGCACTATCCCAAGAGATGATTGAAAAGCATAGTGGATGTCAACCACACAGCGTTATCGCTCACATAAACAGAGAACAGTACAGGTACAAACTGTAGTTATACTTATAAGGATAATACAAGCGAGCATACTTGGTACACTTACATGTGTACGTGGAAAGCAGAGATCTATCTTCACATGGCCAGCAAGCTATCCTGAGAGAGGACTGAAATGCATAGTGTATGTCAACCACCCAGCACTATCGCTCACATGTACAGAATTCAGTACAGGTACTTAAAGGGATAATACAAGCATACAAGCGAGATAGGTA